TCTCCTAGGTTTTTGAAGATATCTAGTATGCCAGTCATCATACAAGTATAAAGTACAAGGAGTTTAAAATAGAGCTAAGTAACAAAATGTAAACATCTTTTTTTGGGGACACATATCTTTATAACATGGTCAATTCTATAATTATCTCAATATCCAGATAAAGCAGAACAAAACTTTTTATTATTATTTTATTAAAATAGTTATTAAATCTATATAACTTCTACCAAAGAATGTTTTAATATTGAATAAACCAGTAGCTTACTAATAATTATAGATACCTTTGGAATGGCAGAAGTAGCCTTTTAATGTTAATTTTTGTTGATTTTGCAAGCAAAATTTTATATTTTTTTCTTTTATTATTATTTGATTACTTTCAAATTGGTGCATACTTAACTTGTTAGACTTTTAAGTATTTTATCTTATACAAAAGCTGCAGGCTTCCTACATATTTTCCCCCCTATAATTTATTAATAATTAGTAGCAGAAAGACCATTTGGCTAGAAATGTTGTAGTTATCTCTGGGACACTGCTTAGCCCCTTCTCAAGGAAATTCAAGTTGCAAAATTTTTAGAAAAAGAAAGCCTCAGCCCTGTATTACATATATAGATTTGTAGAAGTTAAAGTTGAGGCAATAGAGTCACAGTATTGGAAATAAACCCTAAATAAGTTATTTTGGAATTTGAGAAGAAAAAAAGATTTATGAAAATATTGAATTAACATATACCTATTATTCCCTAAAATTTACTATAAGTAATTTACTATAAGTTTACTTATGGGAATTTGAATTAACCAGTCAATTATATTTTTTCTAATGATTATCCTCATATGTCCTGAACACCAAACTTTTTCTTACAGTCTTATTTATTGTGTACTAGATCATGCAACATATTTCAGATCTTTTATTCTTAGATTTTTTTTAATATAAAGGATTATCCAGTAGTTAATGCTGTAGAACATGCATCTAATGCAAAAGATGAAAGTCAAAGTAATGATACTGTTTATAAAGAAGACTGTGAAGAATCATGTGATGTTAAAACTAAAGTTACACGAGAAGAAAAACATTTCATGTGCAGTAAGTATTAAAAATAAATACATTTATCAAGAGATACAACTTATTTTTTCTAAGATAGACATAAAAACACATCTTAGTGGGCGATTTAACTCAGTGGCCCTGCGACTGCTTCTCAAGCTCAAGGTCCTGAGTTAGATCCCTGGTACAAAAAACAAACAAAAACACATCTTAGCTTTTGTCTGGGTCATTTTGTATGCTTCCTTATCGCCTTGGGTCAGAGGCTTTATATGTTTAACACACAATTTGGTAAATGAAAGAAACTTTTTTCAAATAGCCTTGTGGCATCAACTGACCAGAGGGAGAGGGCAAACCAGAGGGCTCTGATAGTATATTAATTTACTTAGGGCTCTTTTGTCTTTTCATCTGACCTCTAGGAAATTTTACCTTGTTTTTTTTTTGCGGGGGGTGGTGAAGGAGGGAATATAAAGCATTTAACACTATAACACTAATACATCAGTATACTACAAATTCATGGCTGATTTATGCAGCAAAGTGTAATATGAGAAGTTTTACTGTCAGTTGAAGAAAGCTCTTTAGTCACAGTGCAACAGTAACATTAAGGATCTATTGTTCATAGATCTACTATACATACATGGGGGCAGGATGAAGAGGGAGGAGTAGAAAGGTGGAGTTGATGATCTGATCCAGGCCACACAGGAACAGCTCGTCTAGGTCAGTCAGAAAGTGTGGAAAGCTTACTTTAACGTAGCTAACAGTATGCACGACTAAGTGGCTGGGATTTCTCAAGCCAAGGAGTGGAGCTTTAGTATCAGTGAGGCAGATGTCTTAATCCAGCAAAAAGTTGATAGAAACTGAGAGCCTGAAAATAAAAGAGATACGAATCTGAGTAAGATTAAAAATATCAGAGGTTATTAATTAATTCTACTGCTAGGTGAAATAAACTTAGAAATAATATAATTTTAAAAGGATAATGTATGTAGTGATGAATGAATCATTTTGTTACAGAAGGCACCTTTGCTATCATAAGTAAAGCTTGAGTAGGGTCTGAGAATACAGGTACTCAACATTTATTTTCCAATTTTGATTATTGTGTTGAGGATGTTTTTAGTGTATGAAAAATGACTGATGATGGGATGTTATGGCAACATAGTCTCAAATGCTATAAGGAAAAAGGCATTTGTTCTGTTTCTGCAACTTTTCTATAAGAAATATTGGATATTTTCTATAAAATAAAGAGATTTTAAGGGCCGGGGATTTAGCTCAGTGGTTTGGTGGCCTGCCTTGCAAGCGCAAGGACTTGAGTTCAATCCCCGGTACCAAAAAAAAAAAAAAAACAAAAGATGTTTTAAAAAGGAAAATGTATACTAAAGTTCAGTCAGAAATCAACCAACCAAAACCTCTGACTCAGGTTTATAATGTGTATGTATATGTGTTAGCAGATTAATTATATAAAATATGGAATTACAAAAAGTTAAAGAAAACTAAACATTTATATTTAAAATCAGCCTAAATGGTATGCATGATAGTTAATTGTTGTCTTTTAATTTCTTTTATTGCCATTTATTTATTTATTTTTAATACAAGGGATCAAACTCAGGACCTTCCACTTGCGAGGCAGGTGGCACCAATGAGCTAAATCCCCAGCCCCTTTACAGTAATTTCTAATGAATTCCATACCTCTTGCCTCTATACATCTCATCTCATAGAGTGAGAATCAATATTCAGAATGTTGTCTCTTAATTAGAGCAGATGGGTAGTCTGTGTTATTAGAAAGCATTGTTTTATTAAGAATTTTTATTATTTTAGTTAATCCTGAGTTAAACACAATATGTGCTAACTAAAATACACAGTTCTGAGTATTCAGATAAATTTATTTTTGTTTATATACTTATCCAAAATCATGTGAAATTCATTTTCACTGTAATTGTTTTCTGTAATAATATAATATTCAACAGCTATTTTTATTATGCTTAAGGAAATCTGCAAAATTCTATTATTTCCTATACACGAAGTACCAAAAAACTAGTAAGAAATATGATGGATGAACAACAAGCTTCCCTGGATTATTTATCTAATCAGGTATGGACTTTGTAGTACTACTGTATTGTTATTGTATATGTATTTTGACTGATAGCTGAAGGTATTAGCATTTTCCTTTTTAATACATTCACGTTTGGACATCAATTTAGTTTCTACTGTGTGAAAGGTAATGCTATGTAAGAGGTATGTAAGACATACCATAGCAAGCCTAAGAAAAAGAGAAAGTGATAAAAACAGTGGCTGTTCAAGAAATACAGTTTAGCGGAGCAGAAAAATGTAAAAGAAAAAATAGATATTGTTATTCTGATAGATGAAACAAAAGAGAAATCTAAGACACAAACAAACAAACAAACAACAACTTCCCAAAGGAGAGAGCTAGTGAGCTGAGTCATGAGACATCAATAAATTCATTAAAAGTCCCGAAGATTGGGTAAGGAAGAGGGCACTTCATTTTGAGGGAATTCTGAGGCCAGTTTGGATCAGCTGGTGAGGTTCACAGTTCAAAAGGAAAACTAAAGAACTAAAGAAACAGCCAGGAATTAAATCTTGGAACACTAAATAGTCAATCAAATGTTTGAGCAAGAAAATAACATGAGGGCTGGGGATTTAGCTCAGTGGTTCTGGTGATTGCCTCGCAAGCATAAGGACCTGAGTTTGATCCCTGGTACCAAATCAAACCAAACAAAACAGAACAAACAAAACATGATCCAATTAACAGTTAATGTGGAGAATGATATGGAAGATCAAAGGGAGGGGGACAGTAACTAGAACAACGGTTCAGGCAGGATATAAAGAACAGATCTGCAAGAGCAGTAATATGCAGCGATGGGCAGACAAAGTCAATACTAAGAAAGCAGATTCTACCAAATATGATTGTTATTTAGTTATGCCTTTAATATTTTGTTAAAACAGTAAGGATTCAACTTAAAGGTCATCACTTCAGATCTGTATTTCTAAGAGGCTTAGTGATAGTGTTTATACAATTTAAAGGAGATTTGTTCAAACATAAATTTACTTAAATGTGTGTGCACATGTGTGTTTAGGTTAATGAGCTCGTGAATCGAATTCTTCTTTTGACTACAGAAGTTTTTAGGAAACAGCTGGATCCTTTTCCTCACAGAACAGTTCAGTCACATGGTGAGAGTGCTGATATTTCAGTTTTTTCATTCTGTATTTTATTGCTTAAAATTTTCGTGGATAGCTTAGTTCATTTAAAAGTTTTGTTTAAAAAATGCAGCTTGTTATTATCTAACAGACTGGAAAGCTAATACTTGCCATTAAGTAAATTATACCACACACAATGTGTACTTTCTCAAAGGGGAAAAGGTTTTGAACCATTTGAAAACTATACCTGTACAAAGACATCCTAGGTCTGTTGACAATAGCACAGTTCTAGGTTGCTTTACTCTGGGCTTCTCCTTTTGGCATTTTATTAATAATTACTTTTCAAACAGAAGAAAAGTAAGTTTCAGAATTCCTCCCACCTGTAAAAATGTTTTTTGACATGTTTGAAATGTTTCAAACTGGGATATCACATTTGAAAAGAAACAGATACTTAAGATAGAAATAAAGAGAAAGTTAGCACTTTTTTTTGGACTAAACTACAGCATATTAATTCCTATAAGGTTGAGCTTGTAAGAAAAACATTTTGTAAGCCTACAGAATGAATTCATATCCAGAAGTTCTAAGCAAGTAAATTTCATTGAGGGCCTACTATGTGATCTTAAATTTTTTTCTTAGAAGATAAAGATAATAGACAATGCGTGAGAATCTTCTATATTCCAGGTATGAAGATAGGCACTTTCACTTGTTACTTTGTTATTTTAAAAATTATTTTATTGTATCATATATTTCCTACAACTGTCTCTCAGTAGGTAGCGTGACATTGTACCTAAGAGCATGAACTCTGATGTTAGAGTGTTTGGATTTTGATCTGCTGTTTCTTTGATGTGTTTCCTCATCAGTAAACTGATAGTATCTATCTCAGAAGGTCTATGTGAACGGTAAATCGGTAAATATATAAAGATGTTTTTAAACTATTGCCTGATGCATAATGATAGCAATATAATGGCTTGTTGTGATGGTGGTAATCATCAGATGTGGAATATACAGCCCAGAAAAATCTAAATAATCTGCTCACATTTATTTGGATGGTGATGGCAAAGCAGATACTTCAGCCTAGATCACTCCTTCAGCATGACCTTCTATCATACCTTTGAGTGTAAAGTTATTATAAGAATGTCTCTGAACAATTCAGAATCTAGGCAACAAATCTAAATCCCCTGGAAATAAAGGGAAAACAAACATCTTTTTATAGTTAACTGTTTTCCGCATATTGGTGTGTGCTAGGCCCTGGGCTAAGGGCTTTATATAATACCTGGGTATGTAAATTGTCAGAATAACACTATAAAGTAGTGTTAGTATTATTTTTACATTATTTGAAGAAAATGAGGCTTTGGTTAGTTAAGGCTTCTTGGCTAGGAAGGAGTAGAACTAATATCTAAACCAGGCATCTGTGCAACTGATGCTGTCAAGAGCTATTTCGTTTTACATTTATAAAACATGTAAAAGAGTATGTTCAAAAAATGTAATATTTGCAGTAAAGTGTAATGTTCATATTCACATATATATGTTTTCAGTCCCCAGGGAACTGAATGCTTTGGAGAGTGCGGCAATGGGTACTACAGCTCTAACTTTTGTGAATAGAATGTTAATCGCAAGTTGAATTTCTCCATTTTACCCTTGTGCTTATTGGTAATAGTGGTCTCCAAAACATCAGTCTCTGAGGTTTGGACTACAGCAGTCAAGGATGTGTTGAGCGTTAGTTTACTCTGGAGTTTTTTCCTCTCCATTCATATAGATTTCCTTTATGCCCTCTTAAGATGAACTTGGGTTCCTGAAAGAGCATTAGTTTTTGGAAAAGAAAATACATAGTTAAAAGATATTAAATCAATGTTAATCCCAAATAAAAAGTATTGATACAATGTAGAATACTTACAAACTGTGATGTTGTGAGTGAATGTTTGTTGCAGCCTAAATTTTTTAACCTCAGTTCTTCCATACATTTTTTTAATTTCTAAAGTTATGACTATGTGTCATTTCTAAGAAATTTAACTCCATCATTAATAGAGATTATAGTAATAATTTCAAAAAGCATTATCAGTTCTCTACAGTAAATAATTAGCTGAAATGTATAACTGAAAGTATTCTAAATAACTAATTTTACTTTTCTAGGGTTAGATTGCACTGATATTAAAGATACCATTGGCTCTGTCACTAAGACACCAAGTGGTTTGTATATAATCTATCCAGAAGGCTCTAGTTACCCATTTGAGGTAAAGTTTTTCTTTATTATATAGAATAAGATAAACATTCAATATTAATGTTAGCATGTTAATTGTGTTAAATGTTTTCTGCAAAATATATGAAATAAATTGGTAAAGGTTCCAGCTTTAAAATTTTGGTTTTCTATGATTCGAAGCCCCATGTGATAAACCAAAAAACCTGTCTCTCACTTTTCTACTTGAGTTTCCATGGTTACATTCTTCAGAATAATTCCGCTTGTTGCAAAATCTTATATTATCCTTACAGTAGGCAGAATCATGCAAAATAAATCTTTGCTTTAATTAGCCTATGGAGTTTAGAAAGAAAATGATGTGCTTTGTCATGGATCTTACTGAAATACTTTTGATTACCCTTCCTATTTATGATTATACTTTCTTTTAATGACAAATGATTCTATGTGATTATAAAAGAAAATAATAACAAAAAACCCTTTAACTGTAGTGCAAGCCAGATCGATAAGCCAATCCATTCTTAATTTGAATAAAATGAGATTTTCTTATGTCTGCCCTTAGTAGTTCTATGCTGAGATTTGTAACAGAAATTTTTATTAGAGATAATGCATATTGATGGAATATATGTGTGTGCATACATATATGTATTTTTTCTGGCTGCACTTTTTCTTTGTGCATAAGAAAGTTTATTTGACAGCTTATTGATAGTCTTTATTATATGTTAATTTTTTTCTAAGTAGATACTACCAGTATCTAAATAAGAACTTAGAGTTACTACTATTATTATTTGCAGTCTGTTGACAAGATGTCAACAATTGGCAATTAGGTGGGAAATAATTTTAAAATTACCTAAATTACTTTGCTTACATATTCAAAACTGGATCTGAACAGCTGTAGCAAAGAAGGTTTCTAATTTTGTAAGAAGTGGGATGCATAATTACCTTTTCAGTGAGAAAGTGTTGGTTCCCTAACTTCCTCCACACAACTTTTCCCTGTCTCTGTGTGGGAAGTTTCTGATGGAGAGAGTTGCTCTGCTTTTGTCCCTGTCACTTTTATGGGTCTCCTGCATCTGCCCACTTAGGTGCATCTATGAGTACCTGCTGAGTAGGCACAGGCTGTGCCTTTTTGTCTGAAAATACTAGTCTGAAGACAAGCTGGATTGTGGGAGAAGAGATTAACCATACCCAGGCGTACAGGCATATCTAACACTTAAAAGTCTCATTATTTTATTTTAAAGAAAGAGTTAATTTTTAGAGTAATAATGCACATCACACTGCCACATCAGATCAGCACTGTTCTTACTGAACTGAAAGATATTTATAGAGTTGAGGAATAAGAAGATAAGCTTAAGAAGTCATAATTAAGTAAATAGTTTAAAAAGTGACAGGTACAAGGGCTACAATTAATTTTATTACAAGTTTGTTTTATAGTAGTATTTCTAGAGTTTAAAAAATCTGAATATATTAATGGCATAAAATTCATTAAAACTTTCAGGGGAAGTATCTTATCTTTCTCTAGACTTATAAATGAAGCAGCAGTTTTATAATATCAAATAATGAAAATAGTGATGTATTATTTTGGTATTTTCTGGGCATGTTTAGGTAATGTGCGACATGGATTACAGAGGAGGTGGATGGACCGTGATACAGAAAAGGATGGATGGGATAATCAGTTTCCAGAGGTTGTGGTGTGATTATCTGGATGGATTTGGTGACCTTTTAGGTTAACTTTTCTGTATTTCTTCTCTACCCCTTCCCTTCTGCTTTGATATTTGATCATACCTTTTGTAAAAATAGTGAGTCTATGATTATCAAAATATGACTTAAATTATCCTCTTTTCATATGCCAGATTTTAAAAAGATCTTCACTTGAGATCTAAAAATTTTTAAAGATATCTATTGAAATGTGATTTGAGAAAAAATTCCAAACTGAGTATTCATTAAATAACTTATTACATACTCAGCAGAATTCTGGAAGGTGCTTACCAACTATTTGTAGAATAAAAAAGTGACCAGGTAGGGTTGCCAGAGACCTTAAAATTCTTAAGTTGTGTGCTATTGACTGTCTAAATTCAAATGAGAATAGTGCCTTATAAAAATATTAACAAGGGCCAGGGATTTGGCTCAGTGGTTCCAGAACCTGCCTTGCAACCACAAGGACCCGAGTTTGATCCCTAGTATAACAAAACAAAACAAAAAAACAAAACAAAACCCAAAATCAAAACAACAACAACAACAACAAAACCCACAAAAGAAACACTGTGTTCAAATTTGAAAATTTTAAACCCCAGGAGAATTGTAAAAACTGTTTATATTATTGCCACATGTTGATATCACTTTTGCTGGTAAACAGAACATTTAGATTTCTGAAACTTGCATACTTTTACATTAGTTGGAACCTCTGCAGGTGATTTTGATAATTTTTGTGCTATTTTAAAAGTTGCTATTATTATATTTTAAAATGTTTAGCATCCCATAATAATGTCATTCAAGGATTCATTCATTAAGTGGTAGTGTTAATCCTGGTGATAAAAACACTACTGCATGCCAATAGTTTTAGAACGGGTTTGGCTTGTAGCCAGATAACTGCCATGATATAAAATGCAGTTGAATACTTGTCTTTCTCAACATTATTTTTGATTTAACATTGAGTGTTGCTTTTTGAATTAAATAGTCATAGATTAACATACAGGCTTTAAATTGTCATTTTTCTTTCTTTATGCTTATTTCTATGGAGAGATGATGTAAGTTTTGATTAATAAAGTCTTTTGGTAGATATTCTTGATGCAAACCAAGATTGCCTTTTTCTTGAAGATTTTAAAAAATAATTTGAGGATTAAGAAAAATGTACTGTTAAGTCTTAAATATGGGGCTAGAGTAAAAGGAAAAGATGACAGAGATTTAAGTGGAAGAATTATATATTGTTTGAGACTAAACAGACCCTCTAGGGACCGATCTTACTGCACCCACTTTCTTCCTGTGTTTATTCTGGATAATTTTTCAATTCTAACTGGGTGGTTGGTAAATGCCTCTGTAAACCTTGGAAAAAGGACTTGATATCTTAGTTATAGTTTTAAGAGCTTTAATGCAATAATATTATTCCCTAATCCTTTGAAGTTTGTTTTGACTAGATTCTTAGGTCCTTTGGTAATTTTATGATTCAAGTGGAAGGATATATCCTAGGAGTATCTCCATTTAGGTTATACCATGGATTAGGGAAAGTGGAAAATCACTGGGTAGAATAAGCTTGTAAAAAGTATGCTGTCTGAATTCAGAAGTTCTATTACTTATCATGGATTTAAAATTGTCTTGGCAATATTGACTCTAACCCTGGGATAGGCTGGTGTTGCTACATTCTATTTCCAGTTGTAGATAATTGACAAGCTGCATCACAACAAAGAAATATTTGTGCAGAAGTATTTTCCAAGACAAACAAATTTAATGAGAAATTTCAGGACATGTTTCTTTTAGGAGTAGCTGATTTAGAGGATAAACCTCCTACATTTTTTGGTGCACATGATTTTGTTACCTGCTATAAAAATATCAACAAATTTCAGTTGACATGCCTTAAGGTAAAACTTAAGTTCTTTAAATAAACTTTTGAGTTTATTTTTGGGAGATAAAATGAAACTGAGTCAGATTTTCTTCATTGTGGTGAAGCGGAAGTAGGTTATCTAATTTTTGATAACCACTAATAATTTGAGCTAGGCCAGCCAGTCCCTTTAACTATTTATGTGAATCATCTCAGAGTTGTTGAAACACTAAATAATACCAAACTTTAAAAATTAAAGGGTTGTTCTACTGTGTTTTATAAAATACTAAAAGAGAGCCATTTTTTTACAGGAGAATTTTGGCTAGGACTAAAAAATATTTTTTATGTAGTAAATCAGAAAAACACCAGTTTTATGCTGTCTGTGACTTTGGAATCAGAAGATAACAAATTTGCTTATGCTTCATATGACAATTTTTGGCTAGAGGATGAAACAAGGCTTTTTAAACTGCACTTGGGACGGTATTCAGGAAATGCTGGTAAGTTTCTTATTCCTCAAATTATCTAGAAGATTGAAATATCACTGACACAGTATTAGGTGAAGATAAAAAGAATGTATTTCATTTTATGTATGACTCATTTCTGATAGATTAGGAATGAGAAACCTTGATACTGTGTTATGAACATTGTATTACCTAATGATTTTGAAGTACTGTACTTTGTATTCTTTAACACATCTCCCATATGTAATCACAGTTGAGTAGTGGGAAGTGGGGGTAGACTGGGAAGGGGTTATTCTTATTTTCATGTTCAAAGAAGTTGACATTTAGAAGTCATAGGCTGTTAGATTTGATTTGATTGCTATATTTTCCTTTTTATCTGTGAAGAAACCTGAACAATGAAGTAACTTGCCCAAGGTTACTAGCTCATTTACACCCAAGCCAGGAAATAACCAAATTTGATAGAAACAATGAACTCAGTGTTTTCTTCATTTTATTTTGGTGCATCAGTTCATTTTGAAATGAATTTAGTTTCTTAGACATTTTAAAGGCATTTGAGTTAAATATTAAAGTCAACTCTGTTGTTGTGACATGTACTTCTTCATTATGTACATTCAGTGTTATAATCCAAAAATAAATGTTACAGATTTCCAGCTATTTGACTGATTACAGTGTAGTAGGAAAGATAAATAAACCAAAGACAAATAACAAATAAAAATTTAAGGGTTAAAGAGAGAGTGAGAATGATTCCAATTGATTGTACCCAGAAAATTTCATGAAAGATAGTTTTCAACAAAGAGCTCATGTGAAAGCTGGGAAACTTTTGAAAGTACTTACTTCTGCAAAATCTGGTGAGAAAAATGGATGTGATGGTATACTTTCAGTTGAGAACCATACACCTGGCTGTGGAACAGAACTTGATTTTGGCAAGTGAGTGTTGGCAGTTGCAGCAGTCTGAGTAATGGAATAGACAGAGGAAAATTACAAGGCACAGAGAACTGTCTGGTATGGTTGGAATCTGTGACACCTGAGAAGATTGAGTCAGAATATGAGGTGAAAGTCTGAAATACAAATCTTGAAATACAGGGAAATTTTTAAAGAGTTACATCATACAGTTTTCAATGTTTCAGATTTAAAAGTGTAAAAAACTAAATATAAAATATGCTATCTGAATAAGTTTTTGTGAGGGTTCTCTAAAAGATGCATACAATCTAGTTAGAAGGTGAAATTTACAATGCAAAATTTTTACATTATGTAACTTTCAAATTTTGACAGGCTGTTACTCTATATTTTCCAAACAGGATTGTTAAATAACTTTCAACTGTTGATCACCGCATATCAAAAGTGAAAAAAAAAAAAAGGTATCAGTATAATGTAAGGATAGAAACAAATAAAAGATTAGCTGTGTAGTAGAGGTGGGCAGCAATTTGGCTTTGTGCCTGGAACAAAATAGGAACATAAATTTAAATATCTGAGCAGCATAGTTGTTCCATACAAAGTACAAATATTCCTGATGATAAAACTTAAGAGGAATTTCTCTGGGTTGTCGAAGAATATAATATGATGTTCACTGGCCACATTTTCACAGTAAACATTGTGAAAGAATTTTACTGGACTATTTTTTAAGAAATAGACAAGCATACATTTTAATAATGAGTTGTTCATCTATTCATGATAAAACCCTGAGGAAAGGAGCTTAATGCTTTCCTTCTAAAATCAGGAACGAGACAAGGATGTCCACTATTTCAACTCCTAGTTTGTCTGTTTGTGGTCTGGTTCTGAAGCTCAGATCATGAGGGTGAGGCGCGGAACCACCAAGCAAACTCCGGAAGGTTTCTGGCGTGCTTCTGTTTTTAATAGGCGGAGCAATCGCATATATAGTCAAGGAGCAAGGGGCGGGACACTGCATACAGGGCATAACATGATTGGTTGATCTTTTGGGTGCGTGATAGAGGCAGCAGATAGGAGGAATGGATGTCCTTCAGCCGGCTCTAAGCCAGTCTCAATACATGGGAGTGAGCATGCTCAAATTTCTGAGTATTCCTAACCTGCTAGGAGATGTGCATGCGGGGCACTTTGCTCAGCCATGCTTGAATTTCTCTCGCAACTTCTATTCATTTATTTGTTTCTGTTTTTAAGATAAGGTCTTGCTATGTAGTTCAAGTTGGCCTTGACCTCGTGGTGATCCTCCTATAGGTATGCGCTATCATGTCTGGCTGCTCCTATTCAATATAGTACAGTACTTAAAACATTAGTCAGAGTAACCAACCAAGAGAGAGAAATAAAAGGGATATATGCTAGCAGAGGAAGAACTCAAATGATTATTTGTTGATAACATGATCCTCTAAATAAAAGACCTAAAAAATTGCACCAAAAAAACTCCTAGAATTAACAACCAAAATCGGTAGTATAGCAGAATATAAAATCAATACACAAAATCAATAGCATTCTTGTACACCAATAATGAACTCACTGATAATGAAATTAGGAAAACAATATTCTCAATAGCATCAAGAAAAATGAGATACTGAGGAATTAACCTGACCAGGGAAGTGAAAGACTTCTATAATGAAAATTATAGTACTTTGAAAAAGGAGGTCTAAGAGGACATCAGAATGGAAAGATACCCCTGTTGTTGGATAGGCCAAACCAATATTGTCAAAATGGCCATACTTCCAAAACTGTCATTTAGGTTTAACATAATCCCTATAAAAATACCTCACAGAATTAGAAAAAATAGGGCCAGGGATTTAGCTCAGTGGTTCTGCTGCCTGTTTTGAAAGTGCAAGGTCCTGAGTTCAATCCCTGGTACCCCCCCCCCAAAAAAAAAGCTAGATTTAGAAAAAAAAATCCTAAAATTCATATGGAACCCAAAGAGACCTAGAATAGCAGAAGCAATCCTCTGTAACAGAAACAAACAGGAAGCATCACAGTCCTGGATTTGAAGTGATATTACAAAACCATAGTGATAAAAACAACATAGTATTGGCAAAAAAACACGTGTGGATCAGTGGATCAGAATAGAGGATGCACAGCTCCAGGCACATTCTGCAATTTGACCTTTGACAGAGGGGCTGAACACATATGAGGGAGGAAATATACCTCTTTAACAAATGGTGCTGGGAAATTTGCTTGTCCACATGCTGAAGATTGAATATAGACCTGTATGTCTCACTATATACTAACTAAAATAAAAATGGATCAGAGATCTAAGTATTAAAAGAGAAACAATCTGCTGGAAAATAAAATAGGTAAAACTCTTGAAGACATACTCAGTCATGGACTTTCTGTACAGAACACCAAATGCTCAAGAAATAACACCAACAATCAACAAATGGGATCATATCAAATGAAAAATCTTCTTGCACAGCAAGGGAAACAGCCAACACAGTGAAGAGACAATCTATAGAATCATGAAAAATTTTTGCCAGCTGTTCCTTGGACAGAGGACTAATCTGTAGACTATAAAAAGAAATAAAAAAGTAAGACCCCTCCAAATTAAAGACCCAGTAAAAAAAGGGCAAATGAAATGAATAGGCACTTTTCAGTGGAAGTATAAATGTCCAATAAATACAGGAAAGAAATGTTCAAAATCTCTCAGCATTAGAGAAATGCAAATTAAAATAATAGTGAGATTCTATCTTACTCCAGAAAGAATGACTATCATTAAGAAATCAAATATTGTGCCCCACAGATTCTGATATGTTGTATTGACATTGTCATTTAATTGTAGAAGCTGTCTGATTTCTTCAATTTCCTCTGTGACCCATTGGTTATTCAGAAGTGTGTTGTACAATTTTCATGGGTTTATGAAATTCATGCAATCTATTTTGCTATTGATCTCCAATTTCATCACACTATGGTCTGATAATATACAGGGGATAACTTCAATTCCTTTGAATTTACTTAAATTGTTCTGTGAGCAAGTATGTGGTCCATTTTGGAGAGCAACCCATGTGCAGCCCAAAATAATGTGTATTCTGATTTTGTGAGGTAGAATACCCTGTAAATATCTGTTTAGTTCATTTGTTCAAGAGTTTTAGTTCTACTAGTTCATTATTTTCTGTCTAGTTGATCTATATATTTGTGACAGTGGGGTATTGAGGTCGCCCACTATTATTGTATTAGTGTTTATTTGATTTTTCATGTCCATTAGCATTTGTTTCATATAGTTGGGTGCACTAGTATTTGGTGCATATGTGAGTGTCACATCTTCCTCTTGGACTTTCCCCTTTACAAGGATGTAGTGTCCTTCACTGTACCTCTTAATCAGTGTTGGTTTGAAATCCATTTGATCTGAAAAGAGCTTAGCAACTCCTGCATTTTTGGGGGGTTCTTGTTGCATGGAGTATTGTTTTCCATCCTTTAACTTTCAGTTTATGAGTTTTTTTAAATTAAGTATGTTTCTTGTATGCAGTGTATTGTTGGATTTTGCTTCTTGACTCATTCTTCCAGTCTATTTCTTTTAATTGGTGAATTGAGACCATTAACATCAATAGTAAGGGATATGCATTGACTTATCCTTGTGATGGCTTTTTCTTTTCGCTGGATTCTACCACTTTGCATTTAAATTCTGGTCATGCCTGATGGATATATTCTATTGGGCCCACTGGTGTTCTGATCATCACAGTCTTTTCCTAGGATATTTAAAATATTTTGGAATGCTGGTTTGGTATTCATGAAGTTCCTCAGGTGCTCTTTGTCATGAAAGTATCTTATTTCTCCATCAAATTTGAAAGATAGTTTTGCAGGGTAACATCAGTCTGAGTTGGGGATTGTTTTTCTTTAGGGCTTGAGATATGTCACTCCAAGCTGTTGCCTTGAGGGTTTGTGTTGAGAAGTCTGATGTAATTCTGATGGGCTTTCCTTTGTATGTGATTTGTTTCTTTTTCTCTAACTGCTTGTAGAATTTTGTTTTTCTGTTTTGTTTCTGGAATCTTAACTATTATATGCCTAGGTATAGATTGTTTTTTTGCTCATGGCTATTTGGAATCCTATATGCCTCACTTATCTGTATTTCAAGTTGTTTTCCCACTTGGGAACTTTTCTGCCATTACTTATGTGAACAGTTTTTTTTTTTTAAATATCATTTGCACTCTCTCCTATCTCTCATTGACTCTGATTAGTCTTATGTTATTCTTCTTTGCATGTTCTAGCAACTGCTGGATTGATTTCTTGGGGTCCTTTAGTATCTTAAGAAATTTGTATTTTCCTGCTTACTAATTGCAATCCTCTCTTCTATATGTGAAATTCTATTTTCATATTGGCTCATTATGCTGCATAAACTTTCGGTGGAGTCTTTAATCTCCTGGAAATTTGTTTGCATCTGTTTTATGTATTCCATTCATTTCCTATGTTGGGATTCCATTATGTTTCTCAGCTCCTCTATTTTTTTAAATCTGTGTCTTTGGACCAGTGGAACAGATTAGAAGATTCAGGAACAACTCAGACACATTCAGCCACCTCATCTTTAACAAAGGAGCCAAACACCTCACTAGAGGAAAGATAGCCTCTTTAATAAATGGTTCTGGAAAAATTTGGTTTCATCTTGCCAATGATTAAGCCTAGACCTATATTTCTCACCACACAGTAAACTAAAATCAAAATTGATTAAAGATCTAAATATTAAAGTGCAAACACAAAACTGGCTGGAAGAGAGGTTAGATAGAACTCTTGAAGACACTGGAATAGAAAAAGATTTCGTGAACCAAACCTCAGTTGCACATGAACTAGCACAATCAACAAGTGGGATCTCTTCTTATTAAAAAGCTTCCGCACAGCAAGAGAAACCACAAAGTGTGAAGAGATAACCCACAATGTAGGAAAAAATTTTTACCAGCCGTTCCTCAGACAAAGGTCAGGAATCTAGAAAATAAAAAGAACTCAAAAAATCAGATCTCTCAAGTTCAAAGATCCAGTCCAAAAATGGACATCTGAAATGAACAGACATTTCTCAGGCAAAGAAGTAAAAGCATCAAGTAAATATATGAAAAAATGTTCAACATCACTGGTCATTTGAGAGATGCAGATGAAAACAACACTGAGATTCCACCTTACCCCAGAAAGAATGGCTGCTATCAAGAAATCAACCAATGACAAATGCTGATTGGGTTGTGGGGAGAAAGAAACCCTTCTCTATTGTTGGTGGGAGTGCAGACTTGTGCAAGCACTGTGGAAATCAATATAGAGATACCTCAAAGAACTAGGACTAGAGTTCACCCAGTGATTCCTCTGTTGGGTGTCTTTCCAAAAGAATTAAAAGAATCATACCACTGTGATATATGCACACCCATGTTTATAGCATCACAGTTTGTAATAGCTAAAACTTGGAAAGAGCCCAATTGCCCATTAATTGGAGACTGGATAAAGAAGATGTGGGGTTTTAAAAAATAAAATGGAGTACTACTCAGTCAGAAAGAATGAGAAACTAGAGACATTTAAGTCTCTAGTGGATGCACATTGAGGCCATACTCTTAAGTGAAATTAATAGGACACACTTGAATAAATACTGAATGGCTTCTCTGGTATGAGTAACTAAGTGTAAATAGGACCTGGTATTTTAAAAAGATCCTGTTATGAACTGAGTGATATAAACAAGAGTATCACTATGAACAGATATATCAGAATAATATAATATCTTTAACTCAGCAAGATACCTAGAAGTGAAATAGCTAGGTCAAACAATTTCCAG